TTTTAAAAAAGCAACATATGAATTTTTCTGATTGCTCAATTGGAATCAAAAAGCTTAAAAATTGAGTTATTCTTTTTATATTGAATCGACAAAAGGACAAGCATGGCTAGTTTATTTTAGAATTTTTAATCAGTTTATTTCTTTCTTCAGTTCTTTTTTCCGCCTTTCGGGATTTTATTTATGCTGCTTCCGCTTGTCCATATAAAATATACCTCAAGTTTTTTGCATTTATCTAGCTTTCGGAAATATTAAGTAGTTCACGTGATACCCTTCCTCTTTTTCTTATAATCAAAGTAAGATTTGCCTCGAAAATGGCTGATTTTCTGTTCTGCTGTATGAACAACAGCGCTAAAGTAGAATATGCCTATCATCGTATCTTGTGACTGTACCCTTGCATTGTTCATGTTATTATAAATGAAAATAATTTTATTGTCATTTAGTAGAAAAAAATTTTGGACAGTCGTTTACGTTGATCTTTTGCTGTTCTTTTGCTTATGGATGTTTATTTTGATATCGCATCTGTTTTAAGGCCTATCTTCGAAAAGGTTACCTCGCTGCAATTTTCGTCTCACAAAATGAGGACGTTCTATCAGAAGTGGTTAAACCTTGAAGAACGGTATGGATCTGAAGAAGTAATTGATCAGGTAAGAGAGAGGGCTGCCGTCTACCTGAAGACTCTGACAGACGCGATGAGCACCGGTAATGAACAGCAGCTCGATGAAGATTGAATTTAAATGATTCTTTCAAGTTTTTGACATCGATGTATAATGAAATCTTTCGTGAGTCATCATTTTTGTCCAGAAATGAAAGAAGTCGCGAACAGATTGCTTTTTCTGTTGATATATTCTGAAATCGAATTTTATAAATGCCGCGTTTTAATGCACATTCGCTAGTATTCACTGTCATGATCATCATTGCTTCAATTGTCTTTTTCATCCAAGCCTTTTATTCCTCTGTGATCCACACGCTGGTCATTATCACAAACGATGTTCTCAGTAAGTAGTTCCTGTTCCTTTACGTATTGAAGAATGAAACATTCACTGTCAAGCTGCTGAAAGTGTCTAAGAGAATTTTCTAATTCAGTGGTTGTTACCACAGGAAAGATCAACATTATTAAACAGTCAATGCTATGGGCAACCATAGCAGGTTTATGTACTTTTTTTCGCCTCTCTGCATCTTAGTAGCACAACTGATCTCTTTCTTTCTTCACCAATTTCCAATCGAAAGCACCGTCACGATGCGACTACGCTTTTTATATTGAAAAAAATGAGGAGATTGTTAGTCTTACTGGCGATATCGCAGTCTAGCACTTTGTAACCTAATCCAGAACCGCGTCGATTTTTACGCAGTTGTGCTTGTAGATGCTATTACGACTGTTGTTCGAACGTGTTATTGTTTGTCCCAGAACAGAGATACTGTTCTTCTATTCTATGCAGTTGTTGATATATCAAGGAGCATTGTCATCAACCGGTTCTCTAGGCTACTAGAAGCAAGCAGACTATGCAATTACACCGTGTTAGGTTGATAGTTGTAATTCTTACCTTTGGTATCGGAAATTGGCACTGTGCTAGTTAATCCAGAATACGTCGGTTGATTACTGCGAATGCGTATTTAACTGAAAATTTGGTTCGTTCCTTAGTAATCATACTGTAGATGGTAGTATGAGTCAGTCCAATACTTGGTACCTTAATTCTTTAAGGTATCTGCCTCCTGGGGAGATTTTGGTACGTGCTTCCACTGAGATAGTGACAGCAAAGACAGCCATATTTAATCTGCTGATCAAAATCCATATTATTTTTACTGTGCTTTAAGTTCAAAGTCCCTACCATAAAAAGTCCCTTTCAGCGCTATATTAAACTTTTTACCTAATGCTCTATGCCCAGTGCAAATCAGCACGATGTTGCAATGTTGAAATAAAAGATTGAAGAAAGATTTTTTCCCCTTTAACACGGAAGTTGAGGTTTCATTTTTGACTTAGCATATCTTCAGTTCTATTCTAACATTTACTTGTCTTCATGCATACTGAACAGACAAATTGAGATAGCGGTTTGAATCTCATCCAGTTTTCAGCTGTTTTCAAGAGGTTTAATATTACCTTAATTGGTCTGCATAAGCAGAGTATTTTTTATAATGCTCGATACATATGTAGCTTTACAACACCACGACGCCTGAAACCAGAGCTCATTTGGAGTACACGCTACGTGCTAACATCACATCGAACAGGATATCAGGTACAAAGACAGTGTGTATGGTAGTGCAGATTCTCCTGAACTGCCGGTGCCTGTACTTTGCTACTGCAATGCCTTAAAAATATATCATAATACTTAAGGCATGTCTTCATTTTGTGGAAATTGTCCTTTACGATCAATTTGTCATTGTAGAATTCTGAATGTGTTTACATTCCTCACCTGGGCGTCACTGAGGCACAGAACGACTGACAGACAAAGTACGAATGCTACGACGCAGTGTTGAGGAGTGGCTACTGTTGGAGGGCTTCAACAGTAGACAGATTTCAAGGAAATCGTTTAACAGAAAGCACTACTAAGCATTCGCACTAGAAGTATAACGTTCTATGATATCTGCATGTCCATGCATAAAGTCACTTAACCTCGCCTAGGTATCAGGATCTAATCATTGAATCCTAGGTACCTCGAAGTGTTGTTTCTAATTTAAAACATGCCGTAACAGTAATGCTGTTCGCGCTGTCAGAAAACGCTCACGGAACTAACTGTAGGTTAAGGAAGACTTTGACTAAGAATTCAACTGACAAATGGTGAGATCAATTTTTAATTCAAGGGTTGAGAAAATCCTATTGATAAGTGGGCAAATGGAAAAAGTCGTTTTCAACAGGTAATAAATAAAGCCTATCTTATATCAGTCTGAAAAATAAGTTGCAATCAGTGTGAATAGTATTTATAATTTAAAAACAAATTTTGCAAAAAATGCATTTTGGTCAATATCAATTTACACCCATTCCTGAAATAAAGCTTGCTGGTATCAAACACCAATCAATGATTCCATGGTGCAATCGAATTTGCAGCCGTATTTCGAAAATATTTATAATTGCTATTGTGTACTCACTGTTTTCAGGTTTTGAGAAAAAAAGGTTAATTTATGGATGATAATGCTGAAATAACTTTCCGCCATGCCATTGAGTGAGTGAAGAAGTTAAAGTTTCAATGGTCATAGCATGATGCAAGAGGAACCCAACCATCGGTGGATCAGAAAGACAATAAACGGTGTTCCATGAACGAGAAATACGCCCCTAAGGAGAGTTCGTGATCAATGGCAGGTACCGTTGAAGAACTTCGTTCAACGAACATCAATTATACCTGCAACACACAGAAGTTAACGCAGAAAATTTTGAGATGCTTTATTAAGCAGCTGATCGAAAGAACGTGATGATAATGACAAAAAGAGTTCGCCATTTGCACCGAGTCAAAATGTAAATATGCAAACGTGCTGGATCAGCAAATGAGTTGGAGTCGTTCTGAATATGGAAAACAACTGAAAAGCACACAAAATATTGTTATTATACCCACTCTAGCAACCACAATATCAACGTATTTTGAACATGTGAAAAGCTATATTTCAAAGCTACAGTCACAGTTAGAGCCTGTTACATATATGAAGTAAGACCGATTTTTTTGGTAGAACATTTTCATATTCCATATTCTATATGAACTAAAGGTAACAACTTTTTATATCATCATTCTTCCTTACCTCTTGAAATGAACAAATTTTCGTTGATAGCACTTAATTTTTTTGGCTTCTTCCCTAGTGCGGTTTGAACGCATGTCTCTCCTTTGTTTGAATTCAGTGCGATTCCTGAATCCAATCAGGCCATCTTAGCCCAGATTTACAATATTCCCGTAGGTTTGCCTGTTACTTTGTTTTGATTGTGACTGACAGTTCAGTTATTACGTAACATCAACGTGTTGGTTGTATCTGTTGTAACTGTCCTTCACAACTGTATATTACCTATTCTGCAACCACCTGACAGTCATGCACTTCGAAGTTTGGCTAAGGAGTCGTCCACTTTATTCTATAAAATTCAGTGCAATTTAGTGTCATTGTTTTAAATAGCATGAGTCAGAGATGATTAACAAAGTGATGGCCTCATGAAGAATACTCAAGTTGATATTCACTTACAAAGAAAACACTGAGAATGGCAATAGCTCACATGTTTAAACAATAGTCCTTAGTAGCGAATGCAATAAACTGTACTTGGTAGATGTCTTCCGCAATCCACCGATAATTGTTCATTCCTCTGCCTGAATTCACACCATGTCTGTGGCATTAATGGTATTAACATGAATTTCCTCGACTACAGAGGGTGAGCAAATCCAATATACTACAGTTTAATAAATTTCTTCTTACTACATATTAGTTCATCTTTCAATTGCAGCTGAACTAATTTACGTTTGTCTTTTACAAGACTGCATAGTCGACAATCATGTCATATATTTTAGCAGTTTTAAACTAATAGTTTGTTTAAATTAATTTTTATTTTAAGTTTAAGCCCTGGTAATGCGACGAATTAGCTGGAAATGCGCCGTAATCTATTAAAATCTATTTCATTTTGTAAAGAGCACCGTAATAGTGAATATACGACTTTCCTGAGAATCACTTTGGTAATGCCACGATTGCGGTATTCTGTAAACGGCCGGTTGAGGTTGTGCTTTGTAATAGTCTGGATTTAGGTAATTGTTCCTATTGATGGCGTTGAACCCTGAATAGTAAGTACCAGCTAAAAATGTTTCCTGTTTTCTGCCTTATGTTTGTAAATATCATATATGCTTTCGAATAAGAATTTTGGAGATATTTTTAAATATATATTTCGTCAATGACTGCTGCTATGCGAAATTCGATGACGTGTTGAAGATGTGACCTTTTGTTTGTGTGAACGAAGTCCTAATTTCAGTGATTACCTGTTCAAGCTTCTGCTTATCGGCGATTCTGGGGTCGGCAAGTCCTGCCTGCTTTTGCGATTTGCGGTAAGAGTGAAATGCGTGCAGGTCATTTCCAGTATCTCCAACCGTTACATTTTGTTTTAGGACGACACGTACACCGACAGCTACATAAGTACTATTGGCGTGGATTTTGTACGTTTTTCAGTTATGTTGCTTTGCTTTATTGTATGAAATGTTTTGTTCAGAAAATTCGTACCATCGAGCTAGATGGCAAGACGATCAAGCTTCAGATTGTAAGTTTTGTTGATTTTGCACCTTCTTCTTTATTGACCGATTACTGACAAGACGTGATTTAGTAAGACACTATTCAAAATTGTAAATGTCCGGTGAATACACCAGTGGTAGATTTTTCGGTTGGTCTTTCAGACTTATTTCGTTACGTGTTATGATTCCAATGATGCTTGTGTTGCCTGCGTCTGGGTTCGTACTGGAGCCTGAAAACCTTACTTGACAGTGGGTTAATAAGCCATGTATAGAAACTAAATTCTGTAGGTGATAGCAAACATTGAAAAACTTTTAGTATTTTTTTTATTCTCGTTGCACCTGTTCAGGCGTTAGTGGACATTAATTAATATTCATACTACTCATTGTTTGATAAAAGTATTAAATTTCTTGACGTGTCTGCATTCGATTTTCTGTCCGATTGGTATTTTCTTCACACTTGTTTTTTTTAATGGTCGTTGCAGTTCGGTCGCATTTTGTGATGTTGATCATCAATAGCTGCCTCAGTCATGCATGTAAACTACATAACAGGTTCTCTTCTTGACGATCGATGAGCACAGCGTTTCAGAAGTGCTTCACGTATGTTTTCTCCTTGCCTGAAAAATTTTCAGCATGTCATTTAAATAGTTTCTACATGTTTGAAGTTTGTCAAATATTTTGGTTTCACATGAAGTTTTCTTATGTCGATATTCGTATTTATGTCAAAGGTCAAAAGTATGTTACTTCTTTCTCTTCCACGTTCTAGACTGTTGTTATGAAGTCGATGGCTTGCAAATGCATGGTTGAGAGGTTGAGTTATTCAGTTACTCAAGAAATTTCATAGAAATTCAAATATCAGCATTAACCTGATCTTGACGATGGTATTTTGGTGTGATTCACACGGTAAAATATGTACTCTGATGATATAGTTGGCAGACGTCGGCGACACATGAAACAGCATACGTGAGGCGGTCGATTACGATCAGTGACAAACGCGGCACTATTAATCATATGAGTTAACCCTACCCACCTAAAAGGGTTAAATATTATGATTCCGAAGACGGATCGATCTTGGTCATAAACGTCAGATGGATTTGTTAATAAAAGAATTTTTTTGCCTTTTGCTTCCGCCTGTGTCATTCCAAGGCATCATGATCATATACTTTCACTGTATAACATGCAGTAGTAATTTTACTGTTACACGCCGGCGTTTCCGATTGACCACCGTTCCTTGCCGGAAGTATGGTCTAAAAACAGGCCGAGGTAGGCTCCATAATATTAGCATCTATAGTGTATGGATGCAAAGCCGCATCACAGGGCAGGGCTGATATGCCGCTATCCGTTGTCATATTTATGCATAAAAATAAACACATCTTGATTTTCGATACCGCCGGTAAGAAGCCGGCTATCGCAGTTGTGTTACATCCGGAAGTTTCCAGGTGACAGAGCCCACTCCCCTTACTACTCACGAGCAATATCATCTGTCTACTCCAATTCAGTAACATATCTAGCTGTATTTCTTGAACTGTGCCTCTCTTTACAGATTGTCTTTGCCAAGCTTTCAAAGTAGAAAATCGAGAGCTGAGTTGAATACCAAGGCGAAAGCAGATCTCACGGGCGAATTTTGTAGTTAGTATGGAACCATTCTGATAGCTCACCTTCAACGTTGACAGCAGTCATTTTTTACTACATACGTCTCTTCCAAAATAGAAAAGCTGTATTCCTTTATTGCATTTCAAGATTCGTCGTATCGTTGGATGATGCAATGAGTATAATAGCTTTAAAGTCGAGTAAACTCCCAAATAAGCAGCTGGAATGTATTGGATATGATGCCAAGGATACTTTAAATTATCAGTGGGTATGGTGAAATGTAGTTGCTGCTCGCAGTAATGACTGAAGCTATTTACTAGATTAAGTGAAATGTTACTATGCTAATGTTACTATTCTTTTACTAGACTATTACGTGCATTGTTACTCATACTCAGCATCATATAACATCGCGTTTTGTTTATACACCGTGCGAAAATATGGTGAATTGGGTGATTGACCGATACCGACGTTTCAAACCGTGTCTCACGGGCCTTCCTAGAAAGACACTGACCGAACAGATGCGTCCAGGTGGCATCCTGCGATAACTAAACTCTCTGGATACGAACTGTGTGCAAATTGGAAGAAGCTTGTCGCCCTTCTCGCCAAAAGTTCACTTAATTGGCAGCAGGGAACAAATTCTCGCCTACTGACCTTGAACATGCGGGTTACCGGAATCAGTGAAAACAGCTTCCGAAGCCAACCAACTTTTTTCCATTGACGAAGGCCTGCAAGACACGGACTGAACCCTAGATAATGGTCAATCTTCCGATTTTCCATATTGCATTGTTTTTATTTGCTATTTTTATCGTTTACTATAGAAGATGAATATTCTGCGTTCTTGAAACATTTCTGTCTCATGTCTGCACGAAATACTCAGTACTGAAACGGATAATCTTTTAATCTTCGTCTTAAAGTAAAGTAAACATTTTGGATAAAGTTATCAATTCGTTGTTTTTTACGGCAGTCTTGTATTATTCCAGCCGTTTACTATAATACTATTGAAGTATTATTTACTAAGCCTTTACTTTGATGTTTAAACCCTCCTGAAAAAGGCTAGCGTTGGTTTAGTCCTGATATCATATTCGAGCTTAAAACTGAAATCCATTAAGCGGTATTGTTGACTTCTTTTTTTTACTTTGTATTTGATGCATTTATAATAAATTTATCATTTTTTGAAAATATACGTCTTAAACATATGCTAGCATTTATTGGCGGTAATTATGGTTATGACCAAGAAAGGGTGATAGCTGACCTAAACACAGTGGCGCAGTTTTGCCTCATTGCACTGCTCGTGCCATAATACTGTGGTGCAGTGGTGCTTTGCTTTGAAAATTGCCTAGTTTTGGAGCATATTCTGTGAATGACTTGTTACCTCGTTAAGCAATTTATCTGTGTCATACCGTTCACCATAGTAAAAACATTCATGTTTCAATAAATTCTGTCTTTTGTCAATCTTCGATCACTATATCTTTGTTTCTACGTCGCACAAACGGCTGTCAGCCTAAGCTCTTGCACTAAAAATATGCCCTCCTTTGTCAAAAGATTGAGTCCATGCATTAATTATTTTCTATCTCATTACTCTAAGAAGCTGTTCGTATTATGTCATCCCTGCTAAAAATTTTTATCGAAGTATTTGAATTTGTACTTCATCTATCATGATGAAAATCGTAAACAGGCTACGGGAATGAGGTAAATATTCTACCGAATGTAAACAAGTTGTAAGCATTATAACTTACCAACATGTAACTAGCTTAATATTCTGAACACTTCAAAGTGAAGTTTGCAATTTCGATCATTTCCAGAAAATATTTGTTTTTTCTTTTTTGGTGACGCTAGGACGTTCTTTTGGAGCCATCTAATTCAGATTCAGTGGTGCAACATTTACCTAATGACGTATGCGTTCTGAATTAGTTTTATACGAAAAAAACATTTTTTATGAATATAATGTAAATGTATCTTGAACAATAGACGTGTGCTCGGAATTTGTGTTGCTCTGTCTGTTCATATGGCATCTAAAAAGTATTTATTTATGTATAAAAAATTTGAGGTTAATACGATGGCTAATAGCTAAGATATTTTAGTTCAGCTTTAGTAATCATTTGGAAATGAAATAGGCTTCCATGTTACTTATTGCAGAATGCAGTCCTAATTGTTGGATGTTGAGGATTTTTGTTTGTCATTGCTATCATCCATCATCAGCTGTTTGAACTGATCAATGAGGATATAAATTTGCAGTCCGTTTTTGTTAGATTAGATTCATTAATAGCTGTGGTGGCTACGTTTTTCACGTTTGCTGCTATCGTACGCAGAGTTTAACTGCAAAGTTTCTTTACCTGTGAGAACAGCTCAGTTTGCAGTGCAGATTGCTTGGCATCAACTGTAGATTGTGGCCAGAATCGTTTTCAATATGTATTGAAAAGAGTGGAAACAGTAACAAACAGCTGAACAACAATTATACAGCTGATGGTGTTCAAGCTGCCCTTTCTGGATAAAAGAATATGCTCATCTGGCACTTCCAATGTTCATAAATTGCCGGCACCCTTTTGAATTGGAATGCATGACAGAATGTAGATTCTGTTCATTCTATCGGTCCATTTTCTCCAAAGACTAGAGTTCCTCAGACTGTTGCATTTTCCAGGCATAGAAAACCTTGCAGGAAGACAAATATCTGTAGCATTTTATCAATTAAACTGATGACTGCTTTTGCAAAACAAAAGTGTCAAACGTATCGTTGATTCGAGTTCGATTCGATTCATGCAACCCTCGACATTTGCGTATCGTATCGTCGATTCGATTCATGCAACCCTCGACATTTGCGTAAGATAACTTTAGAACAAAACAGGTTCCATTATACGAAACAAATTTTTCTGCTTATGGAATTTTATCATTACTGTTCTGCAAAGTACGTGTTTCTTTTTGATTCGCTTTTTTATCTCTACATGTCTCAGTATGCAAAGGCAATTTTGACCTTTTTCTACCATCGCTGCTTACTGCTGATTCTGTATTGCACAAGACATACTGAAAGATTATTCGGCTGTACATATTATAGAAACACCTAGATATTGTGACAAGTCTACATCGTAAGGCATTTTGGCTTTTTTCAGTATTGGTAGAGTTGGCACTGATAAGGAGGCCCTTCACTGAGACCATGTCATGTTAACCTACAGTGAAGAAAAGAAATTGAAATGTACGCATCAGAACATTTTGTTGAATAGCTGGGCCAAACAAAATCTGCAACTCGTAGTCGACTCCTTCTGTTGTGCTAGCAGTTGCTGCCATAACGGTTTTTACATATTCCGATGCATCGCTTCGACAATCGCAAAATTGACCATTCTTTTTTGCTGATTACAATTAGTTCACTTCTGACATACTGCTAGAATAGTTGACGATTTGTTTTATCAGAAGGACGTACCTATTTGTTCTAGCTCACTTTCAGTACCTGTTTGAAATGTGATAATGCAGAGATGGAAACCATTTCTGGTCACATCATCGAATGTCCTGTGAAATGTTAAAAACATGATTTAGTGATTTAAAAATACTGGCAATTAACTCTGAGCAGAATCTAAAAAACTGAGAATAAGCTATACTCCACAGTCGTGTCTTGCAGTTTGTATTTTCTTCATGTATCATTTATGGTTGGATTTTGATTTTTTTCAGTGGGACACCGCTGGTCAGGAGCGATTTCGCACCATCACATCCAGTTACTATCGCGGAGCGCATGGCATCATTGTAGTCTACGACATAACAGATGAAGTACGTTGTTCCATTTTTTGTAGTAGATCGTAAAAAGTTTTTTTAGTATTTTATTAGATACTGAACAATGCATTTTTAAATACTGTGAAATTGTTTAGTTTAGAAAATGGTCTTCACAGTTAAACTCCTGTCATAAGTTGGTATTTCTCTGAATGTATGTATTACCGTCCAGAGTAGCGATCCGTCTATACATTTTCTTTTTAGTCAGGACAAGTACTGGGTACGCGTAGTAATAATCTCTTAAAACTGACTGACGATTAAATACATCAAATGGCTTTTATTAATTATTCAATATGTCATATAAGTCCGATGCATCCTTTATGGCTTTTTCTTCGAATGATCGTTCGTGGTGGATATTAATAGCGGAGCAGTCAACCTTCGGCGACGGTTTAGGTCAGACCTGTAAAGCGACCCCTAAAATAAAAAAGAGTAGGTTTGATTAACTTTTCTGAATATCTGTTCTTCTGCAAGATGGTACAAGTTGACTGGTAGTGTGCCATACATAAGTGCTGTAATCGCGCTAATCTAGTTATGTTCATATCTGTGTACGAATGTAATTTAAAAGCCTGGTTGATTCCCATTCTTTTCAATAAAGTGATATTGTGCATAGCTGTATATGTCAAGTCAAACCACAACGTCGGTCAGTCACTCAAGTGCCTCGTGAATGAATCATTTACAGGTTTCTCCCTTTTCCCAACCACTTAAGAACCTCTTACAGAATTTGCGAAACTGACCTTCCAAGTAACTAAGTAGATGCGAAAATAATCCTGCATAAACCCTGATTATCTAGACTTTCGTAAGCTGCTTTCATTGCTTCATGTTGTGTGGTTGCTACCCAAGATGGTTGGCTGCCTTGATCCTTGCTGTTACAATTCAGTCAAATGTTTCATTGGCGCTGCTTCTTTCGATATGAGAAATTTCATTACCGCTCTTCGTAATGCTTCCTAAAGGACGATGTTAGTAAAAAATGGTCCCGGCATTCGATATATCAAGGGACATAATCTGAGTTCTTGATAAAGAAGTGATTTTTACTGCTTGCTTCTTTTGATATTCTAGTACACTGTAAACGTTGAAGCGCTGGATGCCTTCTTTCCTGCGCATTTGATGGTCTCTATCTGATATATTGATGAATAAATATTTGGTTTTCATTTGCCAATGTAATTTGTGTCGTCATTGGAACTAAGTTGTGGAGAGCAGTCATACTTAAGGGCAAAGAATTGATCTGATTTCAAAATGATGGTTTTGCTTTTACTCCCTTTCAAAAATGAATGGCATAAATTGAAATGCTATCAGGTGAATAGTAACGGAACTAATAGAATTCCTGCATTGAATAGGAAGAAAATATTCTAGATTAAGGTAATCGTTGTTTGTTAGTGACCCTGGTTTCAAAATGACTCATAGGAATATCTGCTATTACATGGGCAAGATAATCGATCATAATATTATTGTACTAGGAAAGGCAAGCATCTCTCGTTATTAGGTTAATGGGTAAAGTAGTCATCAGATGTCAATAAGCTTTTTGTTTTTCAATATTTATTAAATTAATACTGATTTGTTTCAGGAGTCATTCAACAACGTCAAATTGTGGCTTCAAGAAATCGAACGGTACGCTTGTGAAAACGTGAACAAGCTGTTGGTGGGAAACAAATGTGACATGACACAGAAGCGAGCCGTAGAACATGATACGGCAAAGGTAAGCCCCCGGTATTTTAGTAAAACGGGCGATATGTTTTGACGACGATATTTAGGAATATGCAGATCAGTTAGGCATTCCTTTTCTGGAAACGTCGGCGAAGAATTCGACCAATGTGGAACAGGCGTTTTTGACCA